ACAAATTTTCCTCTTCCACGCGCCCCTCAAGTCTCCTACCTTCACCCAGCCTGGATTTAGCAATTGTAATTTTTTACGAGGAACTGATCCGGTACTGCCTGAAGCGCAAGGTCTCCAGCAAGCCTCTCTGCTTTGATCCGATCTCCGAGGACGATGTCTACAAATTCGAATCCTAGGATCTCCCTAGTAATTTTTGCTTTCTCTGTTCGGTTCTTTTGCAGATCATGTGTCTGCGATCGTGACTTTAATAGTCTAGGTTTGCTGTTTGACTACGTTGGTATTTGCATCACTTGTCCTGTCGTGAACGAGTACGTATCTCATCCGCGGTGCTATGAATTGCTTTTTATGGGTGGACTATTGAGACTTGTGAACTGACTTAGTTCATGAATGTTGATACACCAATGTAGAGCTCATTGCAAGTATCTTTCAACCGGGGTACTAGTTGACACGTCGGATGAAAGACACCGTGCAAAGCACAAGTCAACTAGCAGGAAGCCGAGACTTCCCCTTCTGTCACTCCAGGCACGGGAGACTGCTATACGTGCTTACCTGGCGATAATCAGCCAAAACTGATGTGGAGTCTACTTTCCTCACCTAAAAGACCCTTAAGTTCCTTCTAAATCTTTTTCTTCCTTAGAAAGAGGGAATACAGACAAAACTTATAGGGAGATCCCTCTACCGTATCGGAGAGTTCCTTTTCCTGTCTCTCCTTGAGCCTGGGAAGGTCTTGTTCAGGACCGGATTGTAGAGAGAGAGTGAAGAAGCAAAAAAAAATAGAAGAAATAGCACAATGGAGATAGTAGGAATGTGAAGGGCCAGGAAAGAGATAAAAAGAATTATTTGACTTTTTTTCTGCTCAATAAATTCTGGGTTGTTTCCTTGCAAGGTGACTGATGAGTCTAAAGTGGATTTTGGAGGGTTGAGGCAGTTGAGCTTTTGGATATTGGGATTAGTTTTTGGTTTTTTGGGTGGATATATTTATTGGTTTGCACTCAAAGGAAACAGGAAAATTCAAAGGAGGGGAGAAAATCTTCATGACGTGTAGTGTGGCTCAATATGATAAGCACGTGTAGTATAAAAACAAGGTGCAGATAAAAGATTCATGCACTGAACAGACCCAAATAAGTATTTTTTTTTAACAACCCAGGGATAGTGAAAATAGAGATAATGATACAAATAGTCCCTAAACTTTGGCTCAATGTGCAATGTGGTCCATGAACTTTTAATTTGTTTAATATAGCCCATAAACTTTGACCTAATGTTCAATGTGGCTTCTAAACTTTTGATACATATTCAATATATTTCCTGAACTATATGAAAATGTTCAATATTGTTTTTTCATTAATTTAAGATCGATGACAACATTAAACATTTTTGTACAATTCAGGGATTAAATTGACAATTTATCAAAAGTTCAGGTATTAATCGAACAAATTAAAAATTCAAGAACCCTATTGCATGGTGGGCTAAAGTTCAGGAACCGCATCAAATAAATTAAAAGTTCAGAAATCACATTGCACATTGAGCTAGAGTTCATGGATCAGTTTGTCATTTTCCGTAAAAAAATATGACGCTTTCATGACAATGTAAAACAAATAAAGATTGGTGTTTTACTGATTATGCCTTCAAACATCAATGCTTATAACTATACAAGATCTGAGGTGTTCGACATTAAACAATTCTTTTGTCCCAAACACAAAAATTCTTAAACCGACGGAAGAAAGCTAACAGCCAGAGCCACACCAAGCAATCCATCAGTTTCAGTAACAGGAATGAAGAAAGAGATGAAAGAACACAGCACTCAAATCCTTTCATTCTCGACTATCTCTATTTTCGCTCCTTCATTTGAATGAAGACTGTGTAGAGAAACGAAACTATCAATTTTTCCAAAGCATAAACTATTTATATTTTCGCTCTTTAATTTGAATGACTATTCTCCAAGATTGATTTCAGTTATTTCTTTTATCCATGAGGTTATGAATAACCCAGCTCATGTTATTGGTTATTGAAGAAATTGTGGTAAGCGTGTTAAGAGACTCTGTAGCACGAAGCGAAAGCATCTTACATGACAGAATAATGCTATCATTTGTATCCATTGGATGTCTGTTCTGTTCTCGTGATTATTATCTGTCATTGATTTTGGTGTTCTTTTTTGTTCGATGAGTATGCGAATAACCCAGCACATGTTATTGGTTATTTCAATCTTTTCTTTCTGGCTTGCACTGAGTGTCTTTGTGATTAATCCCATCGTATTGAGACGTTACTGAAGTTGCTTTTCTGCATTGCAGGAGCAACGTGTTGATGTAGGGACAGAACTTAAGTCTTTGATTTGACAAGGCTCACAAATTGCAGTTGTAAATGCTTTGCAACTTCAATTCAGTATGGGCTGTTCTGAGTTGCATTCAAGTTTACGATAATGGGTGAAGATGGTTTCTTTTGTGTTGTATCCCAGTTTTGATCGGTTTGCTCCATTGATAAGTCCCATATCCTTTCTTTTTTCCCTTGTTACTTATGTTTTATTGCTCTGGAGAGCTCTTGGATGTTTGATAGGTTTGAGAAGTCTAGCAAACCAGGAAGTTTGGACTGCTGAAAGTGTTTCCAGAGTTTGTTCTTTTTCTTTTGGTGGTCTCTGAGGCATGCCCTCCAGGGCAGGTCGAGTTGGGTCAGGCACTCTTTCATTTTGGCTCGGTTCGAATCGGGTGTCATGAAAATCCAAATCGTTGACACTCTTAACCGTGATGATGAAACTTTTGACTTGACCTACTTAAGGTTTTGAGGTTTGATTATTTTCTTGCACTTAATTATTTTGATTTATCGAGTGTTAAATTATTTAGTTGCACAATCGCATGATCACATCTCCCATGTTAGTGGCTTAAAATTAAAATTGACCAAAATTGCTTTCAAATTTTTTTTCGAAATAGAAAGAAGAGGTACCAAAATGGCATTATATTTTTCTAGTATAACCAAGTCTCCGTATCCACAAAATCTCTTATTCGCAAAAGTAAAATGTTCTCTAACATTTTACTTGGGTTACTAATCGAAACATAATAGATTAGTAGATGCTCCAAAATAAATCAAATTGCAGGCTTAAATGATTGAAATTAAGAAATCAAGTTGCGATTGGTAAGGTTTAAGAGAGCCTGCACTAAATATGGCAATTATCTCGTGAGAAAAACATTTGTTCCCGTATAGTAATTCATTAATTTTTTCTTGGCGATTCGCTTTTGGGATGATCATGACATGAAGAAGAAAAAAATTTACCATGGCAATGACCCGCATCTAATTCAAACAAAACTAAATATAACGAAAAAAAAATAGAAAGAAATGTTGAAAGGGAATGAAATGTCCACCAAACTCACGTGAAACGCTCTTGGGAGTCGACGGTCAACTGTCAACATGTTTATGCAGGTCTCGTTTAATTACGAATTAATACCACGAAAAATCTCAAACTGAGATACCTGTAATAATTTTATCTCGAACTAATTTTTTGATCACGAAAAATTCCAAACTGGTACACCTGTGGCAATTTTACCCCGAACTAATTTTTTGACTATCAAAAGCCATAAACTGGTACACCTGTAACAAATTTATCCCGAATTACTTTCTTGACCACCAAAAACCCCACATTAGTATATGTGTGATAATTTTACCCCATACTAATTTTTTGGCCACCAAAAACCCCAAACTGATATACCTGTAATAATTTTATTGAAAATTAATTTTTTGACCACTAAAAAATCCAAACTGGTACATTTGTGACAAATTTACTCTCTATTAGTGTCCGGTAAATTAGATTAATATCACGAAAAATCACAAATTGATAAACTTGTGACAAATAGAGGGGTAAAACCCCAAACTGGTACACTTATCAACTATCACGTGTCATCAAACTTAGCAATTTGACTGTAAAATTTAATGAAAACTAACATAGGGTAAATTTGTCACAGGTGTACCAGTTTGGGGTTTTTGGTGGTCAAAAACTTAGTTCGGGGTAAAATTGTCATAGGTGTACCGATTTGGGGTTTTGATGGTCAAAAAATTAATTTAGGGTAAAATTGTTACAAGCGTACTAGTTTGGAGTTTTTTTGTGGTAAAAAATAGTTTGGGGTAAATTTGTCACAGGTATACCAGTTTTGGGTTTTTGGTGGTATTAACCCATTATTGCTGTCGATTTTCGTGTAAGTATTTTATATTCGGTTAATATGATGAAAAACTCTAAACTTGTATACTTATGACAAATTTATCTCAAATTAATTTTTTTACCAACAAAAAACATAAACTAATATATTTGTGAAAAATTTACTCTTTGTAAATTGGATTAATACCACAAAAAATTACAAATTGGTAAATTTGTAACAAACAGAGGGGTAAAATATAAATAGGTACACCTGTCAGCTGCCACGTGTCATCTAATTCAGCAATTTAATGAAAAATAACAAAAGGTAAATTTATCACAGATATATCTATTTGGGATTTTTGACGATTAAAAAATTAATTTTAAATAAATTTATATACTAATTTGAGATTTTTAGTGATATTAATCTTTTTATATTTGATTCTGCATTTGTACGAAGTTGAACGTACAATCCACGGGGAGAGAGAGATTTTGCACCTGCCATTCAATTGGTTTTCTTCTACAAATGTTGGTTTTTTTTTTTTGGTCGAATTCTATAAATGTTAGTTGGAACCGATAAAATTTGCCAAGTAAATCCAAGTTGCAGACTTCGGATTTCGTAAAACCAATCACGAACAAGTCTCTAATTAAGTCAACTGACTTTTTTGGTCAAATAAATGCATCCCACCAATCGTTTCGTCTTCCCCGAATAAATTATTGTACGACAAGGAGCATGCATGTTCAAATTGATCTCAATGTCAAAATGTGAATTGTCTCCTTGAACTCATCATGAAGAAGTCTCTTCTTAATGTCTTTTTAACATAAATACCCTACCCATATGGTCTCACGATATAAGTTTCTACACCACATACCAACAGGACAGGAACCATGTGTTCTCATCAATGGATACATGACGTATTCGTGAGTTTCAGAGGCAAGGATGTGAGGAACAACTTCATATCGCACCTCTTCAGCAGGCTGGACGAGGCGGGGATTGACTACTTCAGCGACGAAGACAAAGAGGACGCTGGGGAGGAGATCAATGACAAGCTCTCGAGAGCGATCCGCCACTCAAGATTCGCCCTCATCGTGTTCTCCAAAAACTATGCTGACTCCAAGTCGTGCCTGAATGAGCTGGTCGAGATCCTCGAATGCAGAAGGCAGCTCAAGAACCACGGTCACGTGGCCATTTCGGTCTTCCATGGCGTGAGCACGGACGATGTTTCGAAGTTGACGAGTGGAAGCGAGTTCGCGCGAGGTTTCGAGAGGTTGTGCGAGAGCAAGAGAGACGACGCGCAGATAAAAATATGGAGGGATGCCCTAGTAGAGGCCACGCATCTTTCCGGCTTCCATTTGCAGAACCACGCTTGTGGGTACGTACTTGTGATTCTTTCTCCATGTCGAAGCTTAGTATCGCCATCCATCCATGATTGTTCCTTTTTTGAAGTTATTTCTTTGGTTTGTCTGCTTTGTAGACGGTTTTTGTGAAAAATCGACGGAATAGGTTTTCTTGAGGGAATTGAACTAGTATAAGTCTCTTTCGTCTTTCCAGAAAATTCTTGTTGCCATATTTTGAAAAATAACAACTAAGCCCTCTCTGTGAATCTTTCTTTCTCATTATGCTCTCCGCATCTCCCTCTTCTCAACCATGCTCTGCGTCGAGCTCGACTCAGATCTGTTGAGTTCAACTCGGATTTGACTCAGGCAGAGCTGTATGGGTTCTGGCTCAGCCCGGGTCGTGGTTGGTGGCCGGTGGTGATGGCGCGGTGGGGGTCTGAGGGGAGGGGCTGAGCATTGGGTGGTATAGATGGGGTTAGGGTTTTTGTCAAGCGAATTTTCATAGTAGGTGAATTTGAAACGGTGGGAAGGGCAAAATTGAAATGAAAATGACAAATTTGTAAATAGGACCAGATGTTAGATGCAATTGGAATGCTATTTGTAGGAATTCAAGGTTCATATCAGAGTAATTACATATTAAATTACGTATTTATTTAATACTTTAAATTTTAAGAACAGCTGGAAGTGGTTCCAAAAAATATTATATGATACGAGAGCCAATACTTTTTGATATTTTTTCCTTTAAAATATTAAGAAAGTCAAAGCAAAAAGCCGTTTTGAATTTCCCCAAGATTCTTGTATGCATTTTTGAGGATTAGGTAACCAAAATTAAAACTACAAAGGGAGACAAATGCAAACAAGATACTAGGTTTGAATCGGTTCACTTCCAAGAAAAAATGTATAATAGAGTCTACTAATTTTATTCCGCGACAAGTTCCTTTTGAGGTTTCATACCCCTTTTTGGGCCAAATTTTGGAGTTTCAGACTTAAAAACATGAGAACATAGTAGAAATTAGGAAAGTACTGACGAAGAATGCTTTTTTTACTTAATTTTAACTGTTTTATGGCCTTAGTCAGAAATGTGTTGCTTCTTCATAGTTCGTATGCATGGTACGGCGCGACGCAAGACGACCGAGAAACGCCAATAAAAGAGAAAAAACAAACAAACTAGACCCACCTTCCTTCCTCTGCCGCAGGATGAGGCTTCTATCGAAAGTAGAGCTTACTTGATGACCATTTCTTTATTATACATGTCAATGCCAATAGTGATTTAGGATACATTTGGTTCGACTTTGCGGGAATGCATTTGGGGAAATGCAAATACCTTTGGATTAAAGTGGTTTTTTGAAATGCAAGTAATGTTTGGTAAGTATTTTTTAAAATTAACTTGGGCTAAAGGACTTTTGCTAATATTTCAAAAAAAAAGCTTCGGTGGAACTTAACCACCGGCCACCCTGCCGGCTAGATCTGGTTGCCGACCAACCGCCGATGGCCAGATCTAGTCGCCGGCCACCACCACCTGTGGTCGCCGGGGTCGGACTAGCCCTCAAGCGGCGGTTGCCAGCCGCCGGACCTGCCTCTGGGGAAGATGAACAGTCATGATGAACAGTGCAAGTTGCATTCCGAAAATGTAACTTCTCAAAGCACCTCCACCCTTGCATTGGCTGAAAGTCCCTTGGAGAGTATTCCAAATACAATTGCATCTCCCCAAAGTGAGTAAAAAAGTTGCCAACACCATTTGCATTTGGCCAAGGGACTTTATAGCCCAAATGAGCATTCCAAATCTTTGAACCAAACGGGGCCTTAATCATATGCTCGATATTCTTCTATGCATATCTCATACACCCACGTTTAATTAGAGCACAATGTTTTGTCATGCGTCATCTTAAACGCACATGTCTGTTTATGTTCTCATACATATTGCTCATACAATTTATGTACTTACTTTTAACATCAGCAATGAATCGGAGTTCACTAAACTTATAGTCGACTGCCTTTCCGATAAGATTCGTCAAACATGGCCTCTCTACTTTGTGAAAAATGCAATTGGAGTAGATCGTTTGGCAAACGATGTGATTTCCTTACTAAGGAATGGCCAAGAGGAGGCTGTGCGCATGATAGGCATATGTGGTGCGGAAGGAATAGGTAAGACAACGGTGGCCGGAGTTGCTTGTGAAGGCATTCGTCGTGAGTTCAAGTATTCTGTCTTTCTCGGTAAAATTGGAGAAGGGAATCAGAGTGATCATCTCGGCTTACAAAAGAAGTTACTCAGAAATCTCACGAAGGTGGATAGAGTGATTTATGACATTCACTCCAACATCAATGAGATAAAGCGTAGCATGAATCGTAAAAGATACTTCTTGTTCTTGATAATGTTACTAAGAAAGAACACATGGAGTACTTCGGGCGCCGGAGATCGAGAATCCTTTTTCGCCGGGAGTAGAATCTTGATCACGACAAGAGATCGACATTTGCTGAAAGATCTCAAGGTAGATGAAAAGTACATTGTCAAAGGATTGAGTCCAGACCACGCACTTCAACTCTTTTGTCACCATGCCTTCAAGAGATCAGAACCTAAACAAGGCTATGAGGAGTTGTCTCTCAGTCTATTTCATTATGCAGGAGGTCATCCATCGGCCCTTAAAAGATTAGGTTCCTACCTTAGCGATCAGTCAAAAGATAAATGGCATGAAATATTGGACAAGTTGGTGAGAAGCCCTTATCTTGATTGCATTGATGGATCTCTCCCATTGAAATCCGATGGGCCGCATGGAGATCAACAGGGCGGTGCTTATGATGATAAAACATACACTGGTGTAAGGCAAATTAGAGTCCTCGCTGACTCTGTTATCAATTCCATCACCATCGATTATGATCAAGACGGGTGTTTGGTGCGTTCTTTGGAGCACGGCAGACATCTTTGTGGTAACATTTTTACGGTTAGTATCCTTTTACTCTTAAAAATTTCATTGGGTTGTATGTTTTCTGGACTCTGGATCATCATGATTGAGAGAAGTAATCATGTGCTATATGACACAAGAAGCAAAAACCCATCATATGATCAATATGAACTCTCATATAGCATTGTTGAAAGGAAGTCCGTGTAGATGGAACAACAAATCAAAGGGACAGACAAAAATCTAAAATTTAGGTTCCATATATGAACAAAATTACCTATTAATCTTGAAAGAGAATGGTGACACTTACAAAAAAATTTTGCACTTATTGCAGGTCAAACTAGATTATCCAAATGAATACCTGACTTCAATGTCAGGGCATATAAGAAACTACCAAATTCCTATCTTGATTCAATCTCTCAAATTCCATACCAACAGAAGGATATATGGACCATTTGGCTCTGGAAATGGGCTATCTTTTCATTCGGAAGTTGGTGGCCGAAGAATTATTGGGTTTCATGGAAATTGTGGCGTCCATCTTGATTCAATTGGAGCACACTTTGGGCCAATTTCTCGTGCGTATCCTTTTGAGGTTGTGGGACCATTTGGGGGTGATTATGGTACAGACATTTGGAATGACGGGAAATATACAGATGTGAGGGAAATCGTGGTAGGCTTCGATTCAACAATCAAGTATATCTCTATTTTATACGACAAGTGTGGACGTCCAGTTGGGCCCTTCATACATGGCACAGGTGGAGGTGAAACATATCGGGTAAGTCATTGCAAATTTTTTTCTTTTTTAAGAAAAAATTTTGGATTGTATAGCTGAGTTCCGCTCGTTTAAGTTATAGGGAAATATATGGGGCCAAAAGCAGTTAAAAGAAAAATCGGAAGAAATGAGACATCACAAAACCAAAAAAAGTGAACATAATTATCTCCTTAGAAATATGTTATTCTCTTGAATTTGTGTCTTGTTTTCCTCACCTCTTCTTGAATTTTGATTTTTTTCCTTAGATTAAGCTCGACCATCCAAGTGAGTACTTGACTTCCATCTCGGGCTACACTGAAGAAGTTTCTGAATGCACCATTTTTCAGTCATTGACAATCCATACTAATAGAAATGATCATGGACCGATTGGAACAGCTAATAATGGGAGGCATTTTTCATTTCCATACACCGGCGGTAAAATTGTCGGGTTTCACGGGAGTTGCCATGGCTCTCGTCTTGAGTCCATTGGAGCTTTTTATGAGCCAATTCCTCATATTCATCCTTTTAAGGTTTTTGGACCTTTTGGAGGCGACGGTGCAGATCGTTGGGATGATGGAAGATACGTTGATATAGAGAGGATTGTTCTTCGCTGCTCAGACTTCATTTATTCCATTGATTTTGATTATGTCAACCCGGATGGTTCTATTCGATCCACTAAGCATGGTCAAAATCTTGGGGGACATATATATGAGGTTGGTAAACTAATTTCCTTTATTACTTTTTCAATGTAAGGATCAGAATTGTGGAGGTTTCGATTGGAAATCGATTGAAATCAATCCCTAGGATTTCCATAAGGTGGTTGCTTGTAGTTTTTGAAGATAAGGCCAACTGAGAAGAAACTTTTAGGAACACTAGTTCGTTTGTTTTGCGAAAAATGAATGATTTGAAAAATATATTTTCAAAAATGATCGCTTGTATGGCTTACAAAAATAAAAATAAAAAATGAAAAAAATTTCATCGTCCATAACATAAATTGTTATCGATAATGATTAATTATGATAAGCGATACAAATGATCATTTTTAGGAAAATGTTTTTCAAAATTATTTATTTTCTGCGAAATAAATGAAACCTCAATATTATTTTCTTTGTTCTTTTGAAATAGAGGACGTGAAGTCTCGGCGAGGAAAAGAGAAGTTGATGATTTATATAACCTTTTAATTGATTATATTGGTTTGCATTAGGTTTACCAATGTTATGCAATGATTCATATCCATTGAACCCCTATATGATCTTGTTTAATGACTTGTAATTTGCAGGTTAAATTGCGTTACCCGCATGAGTTTATAACCTCAATTTCAGGTTTCTTCGCCGGCGTTATCAACTCGCTCACATTTCGAACAAACAAAAGAATATGGGGACCCTTTGGTAGAGAGGAAGGGGAGTACTTCTCTTTACCATCAGAAGCTGGGAAAATTATCGGCTTTTTCGGGACGGGTGGTGATTTTCTCGAATCTATTGGAGCACACATCGAGTTATACTCTAACAAGCTCTATCCCTTTAAGTCTGTGGGGTCATTAGGGAGTTCGAATCCGTCATTTTGGGATGATGGCGATAAGCATACCAATGTGAGGACAATCATTGTTGAATTTGAAACAAGCAAAGGGCCATTGATCCGATCAATCACATTTCAGTATGAAGAGGAGAACAAAGAATTGTGTCAATCGGAGACTCATGGTGGCATTGATCAAAACAAGTTTCATATAGTAAGGAACGTCGAGATCCATACGGTATGTCCCTCCGTACATACATATGCTTTGGAAAATCGTTACGAACTTGCATTGCCAAGATTGGCAGGACTCTTTCGAGACTTAAATCGTGAGTTTAATGGTCACATCTATTATTGCAGATCAAAATACATGATCCAAATGAGTATCTAACTTCAATATCCGGGTATACGTTTCAACCTAACAAAGAAACCTACGGACTTACATCTCTCACTTTTCAAACTAACAAAAGGACAATCGGGCCTATTGGTGTTGAAATGGGAAGGCACTTCTCATCTCCTGCAACGGGTGGCAAAATTGTTGGATTTTACGGGAAGAGTGGTACACATCTTGAAGCAATTGGAGCACATTTTGAACCGATTCCAGATCTCTACCCAATTAGATCAATTGGGCCATTTGGAGGCCAAGGTGGACGTGATTGGGACGACAAGAAATTCAACGGTGTGGTAGAGGTTCGGGTAACGCACAGCGATGTCATCCATTACATCATGTTTGTGTATGACAAGAGTGGTGAACAAGTTCGCTCAGGTATGCATGGTGGCCACATCGGAGAAGACAAGGCCAAGTTCACCATGGTTAGTGATTTTCTCCCTCTCCGATTCGTCACTGTTTACTTACTCATATCTCATTGGCAAAGACAATGTTGATATGTGTCTGGTCCGGTGATATCTTGAATTAAACTCGACAAATAGATCTTGTTTATTCCACTCGTCCAATTCTAAGAGATACTTTTTAAATTGCACAGTTTAAATTGGACTATCCACGGGAGTACTTGACATCGATCTCTGGTTACAAGCAAGAGGATGGTGATGACAACTACGATAATGCTGTTGTTCAATCGCTCGCATTTCACAGTAATAGAGGAACATACGGTCCCTTTGGCAAGGAGACAGGGAAGTACTTTTGGTATCCATCGACCGGGACCAGAATCATTGGCTTTTATGGAAGACACGGTGAGACTCTCAATTCCATAGGAGTGTATGCGGAGCCCATACCGCACCTGTATCCTTTCAAAACGGTTGGACCCTTTGGAGGCTCTGAAGGGACTCTATGGGATGATGGAGTGCATACCGATGTGAGGGAATTTTACATAACTGAATACATAGGAATTCACTCCATCAGGATTGCGTACGACAACAATGGTTCCTTCGTGTTAGGCTCTGAACACGGCGAAAATGACCACCTTCGATGCAGCAGGGTTAGTCTACTCTCTCTCTCTCTCTCGTCTTTTTTCTGTCTGTAAGTCGTTCATGCATACATGTTGCTTTTCATAATGTTCATAGCTTTATGTAGCACAGTATTTTGCATCGAAGACCGAGGCACTTCTTATTGGCATCCGGTATCTCGAGCTTTCATACGTTTACACAAGCAAAACGTGTTTCGCTTTGCTACTCTTGCAGGCCATTCTAGATTATCCTAAGGAGCGTCTAGTTTCGATATCGGGATTGATGAGCGGAAATGGAAGCAGTCCTCGCGCTGTCATCCACAACCTGAAAATACTTACCACGAAGACCACTTATGGGCCATTCGGACTTTACTATGGAGCATGGTCAAATGGAGATAATGAAACGGTAACGGAATTTCGCATCCCATCGGAACCAGGCGGTGGCAGGATCGTTGGCTTTTTCGGAAGGACAGGATCACATCTTAATTCTATTGGAGCGCGTCTGGAACCATATTAATTAAACCTCCTCCCTCCCCCAAGCCTTTTTTCTTTTCTTTCTTTGCCTTGTGATCGTAAGAATCTTCTTCTTCGTTTCTTTTTTGAGGTGATGTTGACGTTACTCTCTTTTTCTCAAACGATGGTCATGGCAAGCGTAGCATTATCTGATAATTAGTTGTGAGGATGCCCCGAGGCGCAACTGAGGTTATATTAGATGGGAAAGTTAGTCTTAAAAGAGAGGAAAATGAAGATAACAATTGCATGAATAGTCATTTTAAGGCTATTTTTGAATTAGAAACAGAGATACATACGAATACATGGATAGATTACTTCTCGACCATAACATAAAACCTCGGATTCTTTTATAGACCCAAGGGTTAAGCCGGCACTCCATCTTCACGTTGTCTCATGAATTGGGAGCGAAATTGTCAAACGATCGATTTTAAATATGTATATAGCACGTGTAATATGTGTTGTACACAATTCACATCCAATATAATTCATTTGGATATAGTTTGTCAATTTTTCAAAACTAATAACAACTTTTTGTCTAAATATATGTCTTCTTGATAGTTAATTTTGTCGATTTGTTTTACCCAAGAGTGACGTGCAAAAGAAGATGGAATGGACTAGGACAATCATGTGAGATGGGAACTCCTTGATTCCTGCACTGAAATTGAGTAAGGATTTATGTTTGTTATATTTTATATTTAGCTACCCCTAATATAATTTTAAGTTAAATAAAAATAAAATTTGTAGAAAATATAATTAATATTATGGTCTTAGTAGCTTCTTGTCGGAAATTATATTTACTATTTATTTTTATGCACAGCCGTAAGACTAATTTATAGATAGTTTAAGTAAACACAAGTTAATAATGTGAACTTATCACTGAATTATGATTATTGTGTCATTATTACATTATTATTGTTATCACTGTTTATCCATTGAGAAAAAAAAATAAGTTTACTATTTATTATCAACTATTTAAATTTAAAATAAACGCAATAATTAGATTAAATAAATAATAACTATAATTATCATATGGGACCAATAGAATTTAAGACATATTATTAGTTTCAACTTATTAGCTTACGCACTATTTTTTGAAGCAATATCTAATCATAATTCAATTAATAATCATGTTCTATATATTACTATGAGACACAAAACATTATAATCATTTATAAATTGCAGTAAATTTTCTATTACAAAACTCATGAAATCGAATTAGGCAAGCACCGGCCCAAGTTTGATGTAAAATGAGTGGAAAGTGTAGAAAAGTACTTTTGTAAAGAGAATAATTAATCCCTTACAAATCATAGTCCTATGTGTCAACCTTAATATATAGCAACCCATAGGAAAGACATAGTTATTATATATTTACATAGATATAGATTTTGCAAACCAAACTTAATTAATATTTTATTCTTATTCATGCTTTAATTTATTTCCATAAAATAGTTATTATGTTCCTATCTTATTCAATTTTGCAAGCTAAAGGTTTCGATTTGGTCTATGGTTGAGCAGAAGAATGCTTGGACCATATGTGAACCAAATGTGTAATTTTCGTTTGGCACCTTCAGAAAATGAATTATGAATCCCTAGCCTAAGTTTCAAAAAAAATCTGCTCTTCTTCATTACCTTTTTTGCCAAAAATTTGCTCATCTTCTTTTCTTCACTAAAGTAAAAGAGTTTTAAAAGAAACCAAAAGACAATAATCATGAAATCTAGGGTTTTCATAATTTTTAGAATATTTGGAAATCTGGATCAAATGTGAAAAGAGTGGAAAGATCCAAATATAAATCATAAGGAGTTTGTATATATTAAAAAAAAAATCAAAGAGTCAAAAATGGAATCCGTTAAATATTACTTAAGGGAAATTTTTATGTAATTAACCGCATTATTGTTACATTGAGGAAATAGTAAAAAATTTCCAAGGAAATACTTAGTAGGAAGAGGTACATGAAATGTTGAAATTCTAATAATTACTAATTTGCAGCATTTAAACTCGTTAAAACCATTTGTTCTCTAACAAAACTCATGGAATCGAAAAGCACATGTCCTAAACTGAAGTAAAAACAATTACAATATGTATGAAAGCACCCTTTATAAGGAGAATAAATCAATCTCTTACAAATCACAGTCGTATATGTCAACCTTGGTAGCAACTCTTAGAAAAAGACAAGGCTATTATATATTTAAAAAAGACAAAGATTCTGCAAACCACGCTGTGCAGATATCCAATTCCTATTCGCGCTCTATTTTGTTCTCATGAAATAATTGTTCAATTCCTATCTTATTCAATTTCGCGAGCTAAAGGTTTCGATTTCTATGGTTGTGCAAAAGAATGCTTGGACTAAATTTGAACTAAATGTGTGATTTTCTTTTGGCACCTTCAGAAAATGAATTCTCAATCCCAAGCCCATTTCAAAATATCTGCTAAAAAAAGAAAAGAAAAGGAAGGATAGGTTCGGGTTTGACCCAGAAATCGAAGTTGACCAGTGAGCAGGCGACGGTTATAAGGCATAAACCCCCCAAACTAAACCACAATTCCTGCAATCACCATTCAACCTTTCCCGCAGTGATCGCCTGAGGTCACACTCGTATGGCTTCGTCGGATATCGAAGTCACCGAGTCCTCCGCAGCGGCGAACACCCAAAACCCTCCCAACGAAGCGGCCCCCTGTCGATGAGTTCTCCGCCTCTGCCTACGGCGATTTGGAGAAATTGAGCAAGTTCGTGGAGCAAGAAGGAGCCTCTCTCGACACCCGATACTAACGAATACTACGCTCTACAGTGGGCTGCTCTCAACAACTTCGCCGACATCCTTCAGTACATCATTGAGGTATTGCTTTTCGTCGCTCGCTTCTTGTTCCTTTGCTTGCGTGTGTTAGTTGCTGCTGGAAGCATTTGCTTCCTACTTGTTTCTGTCTTAACGTACTAATTGTTGTAGCTCTTGATGTATGTCGGTGTTGGATGACGAATTGTTTTTAAAATGGCCATTGAAGAATGGGGTAAAGTGAATGTGAGGGGAAAATTACCAAAACAGTCCTAAATTTATTCTGCAATCGCGCTAATTCATCATAAATATTTTTGTCGCTTGATTCTGGCTCTGGAACTTTTTTATTTATGTCAATTCAGTCCATCCCGCCAATTTTGGTTGGCCGTGGGAGTGGCGCCGGCCGACATTGATGTGGTAATTTTTAATATTATTTTTTATTTTTTCAATTTTTTTTTTCTTTCTTTTCTTTTCTTTTTCCTTCATCTTCATCTTCACCCTAATGTGAATGACAACGTGAAGCAGACTGCACTGCATTGGGCCGCTGTTCGTGGAGCTTGGGTAGAGGCAGCTGATATAAATGGGTATCGGGTACTTATTCATTCTCTCATTTTTCTTTTGAGGTATTGTTGTTCTTATAGCATTGGCATGAAGTAAAGAACGAATTTGATAATTATAGCATTGGTGTGCCAGGTTTCGTCTTGAGTTAAAGAAAGGATTTTGAGCTTTTCATGGGTGACTTTTATGCTGTGCTGATGAACAGTAATGTGTGATGCCACTAGCTATAGTGGTCATTTCAATTTTTATGAAACTGCTTCTGCCAAAGATCATGGAATTGCATCTTCTGAAGTCTGTGATTTACTCTGTTTCACTATATGTTCTCCTTTGTGTTCATTGAGAAGGGTTGTTCCTTTTCTTACTTCGTCTAGTGTTAATTTTTTTCCCTTTAATTAATGACCATTCTTCGTTTGCTAGCCTCTCCACCGCAGGCAGTTCATGTTGACGGCCTTCTTAAATCGCATTGTCACAAGGTATCGTGCTGATTATGATGCACTAGATCAAGATGAAAGAAGTCCTCTTCTCTGGATCTTAAGGCGCAGGAACGTCATGAAACTGCTTTCTGGAAAATAAGCGGACAAAGTTGGACGCACATCACATGTGTATCCTCCAAGAATAAAGTGTGTTAAAGGATTTATATAGAATCGTATCTTCATCAACCAATCTCAATATCACCACTACGCTATATCTCATGTTCTATTTTTAGTTAGATCTCATAATTTACACGATACTTAGAACAAGATTATGTTAATGATTTGTAAACTAATGGTGGAGTTTAACGTTAAATTTAGAAGGTTATGGTCATTACAATTTAAACAACCATAATATTTTAATCATATTCGTAAACTAACCATGGAATTTAAAGATCCGAATAATATATAATGCAAAGCCAATCATATCCGAGGTTTTTTGCTACTAGGAAGCCGGTGCACCTCTACCTTGTTAGTCATACATGACCCTTACCTGGTTGGAGGAAAACATGGTTTAAATTGTTTTTCTTAATGTCGAATAGATCTGGGGTCTTTTAACTTATCTTTTCTAGTGAAAAAAAAATGCATCACATTAATCATTGGTTCCTTTTTCGTCCAGTAGATTATCGCACTAAAACCCGATCACTTACTTGAACCCGGCGAGTTTATCTAGGCTCGGGCAAAATTTTATACGGGCTTAAGAAATATGTTCATGAGTGAAGCGCCCGAGTAAGGATTTCTAAGGTCGATACCCAAATGGGGAAAAAATAATAATTCAAAGACGATGTTGTTGGTCGTGATTTAAAAATCGGGATAGCGAAATGACGAAGGACCCCGGATTTCGTGAGTGATAAAAATATTTCCATTTCTTTTTATAAGTAATATAAACTATCATTTTTTCAGAAAATATTTTTTGTAACTTTTTTGAAGAATAGGTTTACCAGCTTATCGAGTTTTTTGAAATGGTGAAAGACTCTTCCGTCCGAAACCGAGCGCCGAATGCTCACGATGGCAGTGCAATTTCCGCCAACATGAAGGGCAAAAAGGATTTGCATGTGAGGGATAGTCGGCTTCTGCATCAGCTTGGGAGAAAGGCGGCAGGCCTGGGTCTTAGTTTTTGTGGATTAAGCAAAATGGGGTGTTTCTAATGGAGCCACGGAGGAGGCGAAAGACAAGGCCGGCATGGAGCCGCGACTGAGATGGAAGAGATGAGTGGCGATCGCGATGTTACTTAAAATGAATAGTTTCAATCGGAATGGCCGAAAGTATCGATCGATCTAGTATTGGTTCCGGCCCACTTGGCCGGACAAATGAACTAATGACTGGAGTAAATCTCTCATCGCATCTTTGGCTTAGGTATTTAAAAGGGGTTAAA